GATAAGAATTTATAATTTTCCATCTCTTCGTTCGGTTTCTCGGTCATTGAATATATTTCACTGTTTGCCAGACGCAACAGTCTGCTAAATGTTACTTTTTCTCCTGGACTGTCCGGTTACATCACCGTAAGCTTTGCGATACGCATTTATTAACCGCTGTGTACATATGTATGATTGAATAGAGAAAGAAAGATAAGACGTGAGTTGACCAGGTACTGGGTGGAGCAAACCGGGATCGTCCTAAATCGAATAAAGCCAGTTCGGCCTTTCTGTAAAAGGAGAAAGTGCGGTTACACGAGCGGACAGTTCGACGCCGCGAGGTGGATTGTGTCAAGACGATGTTAGTTGATCGACAATGCTGCAAACTCTGCCAAGAAATCTTGTTACAGCACTGATTAGGGTCCTACTTGTTGCCACTTTAGATGAAACGTGAACCGATCAATTGCGAAAGAAGAAGAAGAAGAAGTAGTTTCTTCAGGCAGTTTGGAAATTTTAACCCTTGGATTGCAGAAATCGTTTAAATTTAATTTTAATTTTCGACTCTGTTCATTTTCTTTTTCCACGCGTATTCGATGCCAATAAAAACTATCCCTTAAGGGTACAAGGACGTTACACTTCTTGTGGGTAAATTTAATTGATTCATTCTGGATAAGTTGTTACGAGTTAGAAAGGAAATGCTTGAAAATGTGTAATTTCTTACGTCGCAAGTATCAATCATGATTAGTTCAAGTCAGAGTTGAATGGTTCTGTAATTACACCTTCACCGTTGTACTACGCCTATTTAACTTTTACGTACTTGAAGTAAGGACATTTTTTTGAAGGTAAACAAGAATTGCCATGTTTTTGCGACCTTCGTTACCTATTATTATATTTATTAACCTTTCTATTTTTGTCGTCATTAGTCACGCTGTGACAGTAAATGCTTTGCTTTGTTTTAATATTCTTAAACATATTTTGCAGTCAAAGGGTTGAAATGAATCAGAGTTCTAAGGCGTTCCAATCCAAACACCGATTAATTGAAGTTTCTAGTAACGAGAGGTCGATTTTTTCGTACATTCGTGTAGTTCCTTTCGAACAGCGTACACAGGTGCGACAGGTGTAGGTATTGCGACAAAAGCACTTCCACCTGGTATGCGATCTTGCGCCATCCAAGGTACGCATTTCTTTAGATCATCGTAGCAAAGAGGTTCTTATTATAAATATCCGTTAAATAAATTAATATGCAGGTATGTGTATAACAGGAAAAACTTTATAGTCATTCATTAAAATATAGACAGTGGTGCAGCGGGTATTATGCTGATTCATTTTTAGGAATATATTGACTAGTTTTGGAATATAAAAACTATTGAGAATTTTTTTTCAGTTAGATGGTTTTCCTATAAAATTTCTCAATTCAATTATTTTGCAACTATTTATTTAGGAATATTCTGTCTAATTATTATAGTCTTGAAAAATATTTACCTCTTCATCTTAATTTTCGTCTATTTTAGACACATTCCTTTCCTAAAGGAAGTTTTAATTGTAATTAACGTCTCGTTCCTTCCTCGAAACAGCAATTAACGAATGTTAATCAGCCCCGTCCGGTATAAAATGAATTCGGTATTATTCTTAAATCACAGCAGTATCATTAGTGGTGAAAAGATAAAATAGTTAAAATGTTAAAAGATAAAATAGAAATAGGAAAATTTTAGCAAAGAAAAAATCACCATACGGATCCAAAACGGGGATCTATCTTAATTCTCGAAGTTCTTAATAAAATCGTGTTCGATCCTTGACTTTTACGCGTCGAATAAATTATCGGTAAACCGACCGAACAAGGAATTCAACGAATCGCCCTTCTATTTTTTTGTTGAAAATCATTTTTTTAACCGACAGCTCTGCGTATGCGTTTATAGGACAAGGAAAGGAATAATCAAGCTAATGAAGGATATGGGAACGTTGGAAAACAGTGAACGAAGTATCATATTCTCAGAGGCGAAGATTATATGTCATAAATGTTCTTTGCGTTCGCAACCGAGTGGGTACTAGTTTCAGGCTAGGTTTAAACAAAACCGGTCGGCAATTAAACATACTCGACGTGTTACGTGTTCCAGCTGGGTTACATACGTGTTCTCTAAGAGATATGAAACAGGATCAAAGAAACGAATCCTTCTTATTTGTTTTAAATCAACACTGCTCTTTTCTCGATGTCAATCAATATTGATACATCTTCGGTTCTTTTTTTTTGTTGTTTGAACAAGCAGTTTACCGAAGAAACAGGAGAAACATTTACCAAACACTTTCGCTGATTTCGTGACTTTGTTGGGAATAATTTGTAAAATGATAACAGATTAAACAGCTAAAAGAGTAACCGGACGTTGGAAACTCTTCTACTATATGTTTAATCATGTAGGAATCACGCGAATGTTTTGAGTAATGATTGAATTGCACAATTCGTTTGACATTCATCGATTGTAACGCGGATGCGACTGAAATAGAGTTAATTAACGCGCAGGTTTTCTATTTGGGGAACGAGAAGAATTTTATTGGAAGAATTTAAGAAATTCATGATCATTGATTTAAAAATTATGTGATGCTTAATTAAATTTTATATTTTTACAAAAAATATTGTTCATCGATGATAGAAGTATCTAAGGATCGTTCATGAGAATAGTTTACGTACTTTCACGTTGCTCATTAAAATCTACTTGATTTAATAAATAATATTTAATGATTGGGAGAATCGATTGTGATAGCTGGAGGACGTTTCAGGTGTATACTTTCACATTCTTCGAGTTCTGGTCCCACTCGTCCAACTTTCAGACGGGTTATCGAATGGTCCCGGGTGCCGAAATTTCTACCGGTCATAATTTCATACGAGATTACTCAACACATTTTCTTCATCGTAAAAAAAACGGAATTTCGAACGACACCAGGGAATACTAATCTTCACGGTGAAAGCACAGCGATTAGAGTACCGATCACCTGAATAGTAATAATTAACCAGGTGAAAACAAAGGTGGAGCATACTTGGAGAACGTCTGTCGTGCATAATTAAGAAAAAGAGAATCCTAAAATATTATAAAACGCAAATTCCTCAAAGTGATCAAAGTAAAACTAATTTAAAAATTAATTAAAAAATTAATTATTTTACACGGAATCGAAGCTTCGATGGTGATTTCAATGGTTCATTGAACCTAAACTCATGCAGAGTGTTTGAAGAGGAAAAAGGAGAAAATCGTAACGGGAAAACTGCAGGTTCTCGCTCGCAGACTTGTTTGTCAATGTTTTTATTATTTTGTTGAACATTGGCCTTGAGTAAACAAGTATCATGCGAGAGGTAAAAGTGGGGTAGTGAACTTGCCTGCTGGGACGAAACTAGTTATCCAAGAATGTAATAAGCAGATACGGTGCCGTGGAAATCATATGAGACACGCATGGACACACATCGAACACGATCCTTGCTCAATGTTGCATGTCCTCCTATAAACATATTGACCGTTTCATTTTAAGATTGATCTGCCTACGTGTCATCTATGAGACGGAAATCGACGCGTAACTATTCCTATTTTCCATGCCACGAAGACCGTGAAGAACCTGTGTTTGTTGCGTATCGTTTAAAGTTCATTTTTATGGATGACTGGGTTTCCGACTCGTAATTGTAGGCAAAGAACAATCCCGATCTTGTTTTTCTCTGGCTAGCGTAACAAAAGTTATGCATTTTCTCTCACAGCTAAATAACTAAAGAGATTTTTTGTTTTAATCAGATGAATTGAGCAATTCTATTATTAATTGATTCTGAGATTTGCATCCGATTATCCAGGGAAAATACTTTCAAATGTACTTGATCTACATTTTTGCTAGTCATATAGACAAGAAATAAGCGAACAAGAATGTTATTACGTTCACAGACAGTTGCAGTGAAAATTAGTAAATTTAACGATGCTTAAGCAAAAGTGGTATAATTGTAATTTGAAATTGCAAATAAATTCCAAGAAATTTATTTTTCTATTCGAACGCCAACAGGAGCGATACTTGCAATTTTATACCGGACTTAGTATTGTTTATCTCTTGCGACCACAATCAATTCCTCAACAAAGTCGCAAACTTGTGAAACATCATCGATATCGTTTGATACATCGTTCGATCTCAGTTGCCGTAGAACTTAGAAACCATGACTGGCGGGTAAGTGTCTCTGTACACGAAGCCGCGATGAATGCTAAGAAATCGGAATCGAGCCTCGATGACGAAAGCAGGCATCATTCGTGTGTACACCAGAAGCGAAAGGATATCGTCGTGGCACGATGAAGTGGCGAAGAGAACTAAAGAAAGACACCGGTAACTCATTACGTGCCCACCAAACGTAAACAGTCATAGAAATGATGGATTTGGTAAATAACAGTTGCCATATCGTGAAATGCAATTGTTAGGTATTCCGTGTGTTCTACCGATGAGAAATCGACGCGTTGTTTAAGGTTTTAGGTCGTCCCTCTTTCATTAATTAATTAACAACACTGCAGAATTAATTGTGATTAAGTTTGAATTGTTATTTACAAAATTAGTATTAAAATGAGTAAATGATACTATTTATAAAGTTAAATGTCACGCCGTTCATTAAAGAAAACAGTGAGCGTTTCTCTATTTCTCGCAAGTAGTAGAGTCAATGATAACTCAGCCGCGGCGCAAGTAGTATATGTCGACGCGTGGTCAGACCAGATCAGTAGTTCGCGACGCGTTACTACTATTCTCTACTGTTCTACTATTTTAATAAATTTTACGGATAAATTAAAGCAAAATGAGGAAGAATTACATTTTTATTCGATAAGGGATTAGCCAAATTCTAATAATAAAATTCGTGAACAAGAAAAATTAAAGAAAAAAAATAATTTCAAGAAGTTAAAATAAAACAATTCGGGGAATGCCAGATAAATTGGGAAAAATAATCAATTCAATTTGTAAAAAGGTGATACTATAATGTGCAGATAATGTGTTAATAATGAATCCTTTTTTATTCCTTGCAGAGTAGAACGAGCACGCGAGACTGCAGGACGAATGTCGCGAGAATGATGAGTTCGATGCAAACACAACTGCCTGGATCCCTGCACGATTACCAGGTCGACCCTTACCGGCTTCTGGAAGATGATCTGAAAGATATATACGACGACATACGAGAGGTAAGTCGATTTTTATCATTTCACAATCTTCAATAATCGAGATGATATAACATCGCCGCGTTAACCAGTAAACGTTTTTGTTGTTGCGTTTTCTGTGTACACTTTCTCCAGGTTGTTTCTCCTTTCGCACAGTCGTTCGATAACCTGAGAAAACGTGATAGTCGAATTCCTTAAATGGCAGTGTAATATGCTTTTTACGTATCCTTTAGCTGGAAACGTTGTGAGAAATTGTAGATTTGAAAAACGTTGAAGAATAATTATGGGAACTTGAAAGCTCAAGTATTCGTAATCTTTGGCATTCTTTAAATGAAATTTTCTGGCAATTCAATTGCCAGTTCGTATTTCTGAGCAACCTGTCACACCGTAGGATTGCAAAAGCGATGATTTCTCTGAATTCATGAGAACCATAGGCACCCAACTCTCACGTTTCTTCGAGGCGAGTCCAGTGTCTGGTTGAAACCGATTTCCTGCTGCCATTTTCGGTGCAAAGCGCACGGATTCGATTCGAATCACCAAGTACTTCCGTCAGAAGGTTTCAACAGGAAGCGATAGCCAAGATCCAGAAGAAAATCGCGCGTAATTCAAGGAATTCGTCCACGAATCACCGAGCTTTTGCATCGTCATCATCATTATCATCAGGTCTCACATGTGTCGTTATTACGAGATATGGATAGTAAACGCAGTAGACTCTTGGACGCCAAAAATCTTCCCTCTTTCACACGTTGTCTAGGCGCGTAATTATAAATATTTATAGTGAGGAATGCCGTTTTCACGACGAGGAGACGTTAGCGAAAGCAGCTCGCGCGACTTCATGGTCTGCATATATGGCCGAGAGTAGAACTTTTACTCACGGCCGTGGCTAGATACTATTGTATTTGAGTATGCCCGTGCAAACGCGTTTAGAAAGCACTTTTTTCTCATCACGCCTTGGAACAAACGGATCCGACAAACGATTACGCGTCCTCCTGTGTTCCATTAATTGATGCACGCGTTGGTGGACAAACATTTCTCTGTTAATTATTAGAGAAATCATGTATGGCACTAAAATTGGCGATCCAAAGAATAGTTCCTAATTAGGTATCAATTAAATCTTAAAAAAAAAAAATAAATAAAAAACATGCAAATTGCATAATTCCCACATGATTAAAAGTACAATTTTGAAGTGATTAACGAAATCTGAACGGTAACGAGATCATGTATCCGTTGCTATAATTAAGATTAATTAACAAAGTCATTCGACCAAGTGATTCTCTAATTATTTCAAGAACCGCACTCGCGTTACCGTTGTACAGTTAGAAGGACGTTCAATTAAATCGTTCCGGGTGCATTGGTTCGTTAGCTTCCGATCACGTGGTCGAAGCAGACGTCCAGAAAGTGTCTCTGACGTAAGCTTGCGAAACGAGCTAGCGTTCCTTTCGACTTTGGCCAAATTCCAGGACGAACTTTCAGCCGGTGCCACGGCTGGAATTCAAAGCGCGCCTCTTCTTTTTCTATCGCTCTTACAACGAACGGTCCGTTCCGTTCGTCACGTAGACGAATCGTCTTATGGTCATCCATTGTCTATACGAATCGCTCTAGATCAATTGCTCCCGAATAAAATATGTAACGCCTGCATTGAATCGAAATAATACGTGCCAGGTGAAACGGTATCGGTTGATCTAATGACGTAGCCATTTTTTTAATTACTCTTCCAATAATTCAATTGCTAAATTGACTGTTGAACAGGTGATATCGCGCTAGCGATGTAAATGGATGATTTGCGACAATTTTACAGTTTACACTTCTTATTATAATGTATCGTCTAAACTGATATTAGTGATCGTGCTAATTTTCTTCGAGTAATACTAACTAAGGGGAAATCCAAAGCCGGAAATTCGAAAATTTATGGAAAATTTACGAAAGGATCAGAGGAATGCAAGCTGATTTCTCGACCAGGTGCAACGCCCAATTCCTCATTGAAATTCTCACTCCCTCACCTTCGCAACACTCGAAGAGAATACTTGGGAGAGAGAAATCAGAATTTAGGAACGGTTTTAGATCAATACTTGTTAGCCTAGGCGCCCGGTTGAATATCAATGATCTAACTTTCCGAAGCATTGCATTCCCGAGCGATTCGTCCGATGATAAAAAAGAATAATTCATCGTCGAGCTTGTTTCTAGCTACTACGAGAGAATTCCTTTTCACCGTTCGAAGTCAAGGTTACGTTTGCCATTGTTCCAGGTACTCATCAGGAACACGACGCAGAAGGAGCTGCAAACTATAGCTACGTACTACTTCGACGGCAAGGGAAAGGCTGTGAGGCCAATGGTAGCAATTCTCATGGCACGGGCTATCAATTACCACAAGGAAAGAAAGTGAGTTGCGAGAGGCACGCCTTGGCGGATTCTTTCAAGTTCGCCGTCGATAAACTTTTACGTTTCGCGCCAATTAACGGATTATCGTTGATCGAAATGTTCGAAATCACGTGTAAACGGTCGCGTAATCCTTCTGCAATTCGGTAACCAAGTTCGAGGTATCTATTTTTCTAAAATTACCACCGTGGCTAATTAACACTAGTTGCCGGACGCGTTAGCTAATTTTCAGAAAGAAATAATCATTTCTTTATTTGCCAAGCGAGAAAAGTCGGCTCCGTTTAGAAAGCATCGAAAGAATGCGGTCTCTTTCTAATTCATATATCGCTTTGAAAATAATGATTTGTCGCGCGCCACGGGTTAGGTGACGATGAATATGAATGAGATGTCCCCGTGAATGAGAACTAGTGTAGCGTATACTATCACATATGCCCGGGGATTTGTAAATACCAGTGAACATGACTTCGCGGCTTGAAACTCGACGAAGATAATCCTGATGACAAAGGTGTGAAGTTGTCAATCAGCGATTGACATCTGTTGAGTCTGATCAATTTTATCATCTCTGCTCGATCATCGTAACTTGCTTCGAGTAAAGTTTGCATCTGTAAATTTAACATTACCAATTTCCCCTCTCCTTTATTTCCTGTCGTTAAAATTTCATAGAAATTGGAGGAAAAAAGAGGTAATTCGTTTGATTTTAGCGATCTCTTGGCGTCGCAGCGACAGGTGGCGATGATCTCCGAGATGATCCACAACGCTTCCTTGATCCACGACGACGTAATCGATCAGCCAGACTTCCGCCGGGGCAAGCCTTCGGTCAACGTCGTCTGGAGTCAAAAAAAGGTAGGAATTCTAATCGTGGATCAAGGTTCACCGGACAGTTGAACGAATTTTTCATTTCAACTGACTCATCGAACGATATCGGATTAAAATAATTTACAAGATCCTCGATCTTATTTTTTTCTAATCTTTTTTATGGATGCTTGATTAAATTTAGCTCAAGTTCGTTTTCTATAAATATTCTATTATTAGTTGTCCATTGATCGATGAGAAGCGAAACTCTCTCTGAAATACCAGAGAGAGGAAGGAGGCTAATGCGATTCATGACTCTATCGTACTGACCGTGCACGCTTTCTTGGCCTGGAACCGGAAGCGGACCTCGTACAATTCGTCTGTGCGCATTGTCTAGCCACACGGGAGAATCGTTGAAAATCGGTGGGGCGATTAACGACCCGGTAGAACGAGCACCGTGAAATTACTTTGAAAGTCAATGTATTCTTCCAATTAGATTTCTGATATTGTTTTCTATTTTTTCCTTCTTGGACATGATTTTTCCTTACGAAACTTGAACATACTAGTACACGTTTTTTAAACACAGATCCCATCGGGGCTGCAATATTGCACGCGATTATGCAAAATGTGTATGCGAACGGAGAATGAATACTAATCCCCCGGCAAGCTGGTCGGTAACTATTATTTACCTCACTTGCCCTCAATTTCAGCAACGGTCGATGCAATTTCGAGCATTCGGTGTTGAAACGGTTCAATTAGCTGCTGCACTCGTGTAATGGAATTTTGATTGTGGTAATAATCGTTAACCCACCGTCAAAGTCATTATGATCATACCTCAAGTGTGGAGAATTAAGAATTTATAAAGGAAAATAATGAAAATCGAAAAATTTGAAATTTTTACACCTGGTAGATCGAAAAAATTCAATTTCCCCAAATTGTCTGAAGGGTAATTAATTTTTGAAATATACAAAGCGATTACCTGTAACTTCATTTCCTCATGTCAAGGTTACAACATCGATCGAAGATATACATTCATGTAAAAGAAGTTGCAGAGAAGCAACGGTTACATCGTGATAACATCTCTTTTCTTGGGTGTGATGTCACTTAAAAGATACGAAGGTCACCTTCACCTTTTTTTTTTATTTAAGTGGAACGACACCTTTTCTCGTTGTTCGATAAAGAATGCGTATTCTCTCTGAAATGATGAATGCAAAAACCTATGACTGTAAAGTCGTTCAAGACCATCGTTGAACGAAGAAACGGAGAATTCTTCTTGAACTTTACTACCGAACCTACGTCTCGCGACCTAAATCGTCCATCAGAGATATTTCCTTCAATTTCTTTTATCTACATAAGTCAGCAAAATTCTGACGTCGAAGAATACACACGTACTTGTGTACCATTTAAATTAACGAACTGTTAAACGATCGATAGAATTAAACTCAGCCGATTTAAACACGAAACCCATAAATATGCAATTTGTACTGGAAGGATTGAAAAACTATGGACGGCCTTGAGCAACGAATTAGCGAGTCACGAAGAAATGGAAAGCCGACGAATGGCCACGAAAGTCCCGGTGCTGGACGATTCGTACGAGCGGTGGGTTAAGAAATTGTGTAACAGTGCCGTATTAACGGGACACTAATTGAACCAACTGTTGCGTATGTATGTATAATAGTTATCGCTGAATTACGGGCGAATAACGAGGCCGTAGTCGAGGCAGGATGTTACTTTGAATTTGTAATTGTACCGGGATTACCCTTCGAACGTGTGATCATTTTTATTTTAAAGCTAGCCTTGCAGCAGCTCCCTGAATAATTTCTTCTTATTAATCATCGAATAATGTATGGTGGGTCGATCAATTTATTCCTTTGTTTTCAATCTTATTTCGAAAACAATAGAAATTCACTTCGAAACACAGTTCACTGACCCAAGTGATTTTCTACTCTTCTTTGAAATGATAATCGGCTGTCGGATTTAATTAAACCTGAAACATCACAGTTCAGTAAACAGCTCGTTGTTTCCCTATTTCAGAAACTTTCCCTTTCGTCCCTTTTGCAATCTCGCAATACGTATCTGTCGAATGACTATACCGTTCTAATTGACTCATAAGTTCAGCTCGCTAGACCAGCTGGCCGTTTCGATCCGTATCATTGAACGAAAGTTATTTCCCAAAGCCATAACGGCGAATTTTGTAGTCGTTGCGAAAGACGGGACATTTTTCGCAAGCATCGTTGGCCACGAAAACACGGTGTTCTCGAAAGTGAGTCCATCGTTGCGCTGCGTGAAAAGCGGACAAGCATCGTACCGGATGTGAAACTGGAAAAATTACGACCTGTCCACGATGCCTCGTCCCAGCCATTGTCGGAGGGAACAACGAACGAGAGTTCCTTCGAACCATCCATCTATTTGTTCGACTTAACGCCGAATACCTAGCGTTTTTTTAACTGGTAAACGAAGCGCCTCGAGGGAACGCTCAAAGTTTCACTCGCCAGGCTCTTCCTCGCGAGGAAAACTGGTGTAGTGAAAGCGTCGGGATTGTTTGCGTTCGTGATTGCAAGATGTTTCTGAACGAAAGAAAAACATATTTGCAGAAAAACCGTGAAAGAATATTATTATTCAGTTGGATGCAAGAAAGGATTCGAGGCACGCAGATTTTTCCATAAATTTCAATTCTCTTCTACGTTCCTCTAAATTTCATTATTTTGATAGAGTCTTGGCTAATTTTATAAATCAGTGTTGACAGATTGATCCTAATTAGTATCTAATAATAAGACAAATATAAATGCAAAAGGGGCCTCTTTTTCCATAAAACTCAAATCTTTTCTACGTTCCTATAGAATTTCATTATTTTGATAGAATCATGGCAAATTTTATAAATCGGTGTCGACCTACTGACACTGATTCGTATCTAACAAGCCAAACATAAATCAATAGAAGAGATATACTGTATTTTTTAGTATACCTGTGAAAAAAAGATGTATCAGTCAATTAAAATTCATGGCATTCTATCCCCATACTATTTTTAATAATTCCACTCATTCGATTGCTATTTTTATCTGCTTTCTAGTTAAAGAGGTAGGCTCGGTCTTGTAGCAGGAATCGAAATGGCTAATTTTTCTCGTGTCTTCGTCTGTTTACCTTGAAGTTTCACAATCAGGAAAGAAAACGAGACGAGAGTTCATTAGTTATGCCGGAACCAAATCTAGGAACATCGTGTACAAGATATTCGACACGTGTCGTTAAAAACCCCTAACACGAAATTGAACAACGAAGGCCGTCGAAAGTGTCGTCAAACATTAACTCGGCTATGGAGATAATTAGAAATAATGAGTCAGAATTTTGCAAATATAAAATTTCATTAGTTCCCTTTCATTATTGAAAAAAGAACAAGGAAAAAAATCATGCATTGTCTGAGAGGAACACTGGAAACTCAGCAGTCATTGACGAGGCGTCGAAACTATAATGTGTTTGGAATAGAAGAAAATAGTCATCAGCTTTGGCTACGTTAAAAGCCATCAAGAAAATGTGGTTTCAACGCATGCAACATGTTCATCAACGATTCCTATTGTCGGTTTATCGTTGGATAACCGCAGCCGCATGAATCGAAACGAAACACAGTAGTCATCGTCTCTTGGACGATCTGTTCGAGCTCTCAATGATTCAACTTGCTATTCTGACCCCTATTTGCATTGCAACGACTTTCTAACGGTGTTGCATGCAGAAAGGTTCATTTGATGTGTACGATCAATTAGAATTTAAAAGATTCAAAAATGGCTAAGAACAGCTGTGCCTTTTCTTTATTTTAATCAAAGATTTATTTTTAAAAAGCCATAGTAATTCCAATTATTGAAATAATTGTTATTATTATTATGTTGTATTGTCACTTTTCAAATATTCAAATTAAAAATATTAATTAAGAAGGCGTAATACTAAAAGTATCTTCATAATGTATTATTATAACATTATAACTCATCGAATTTGAGATGAATTATTTAGAACAGATAGCTTTCTGGTTTTTGCTATGTTTGTCCATTTTACGCTTTCTGTATACGCTTTTACCTTATCAGGTACCAAATTGACGAATGGCAGAAAGTAGATTCTTCTCGCATTGCTAAGCAGAGATCTCTATCGTGATACATTAATTAACACGTGTAACTTGTATGTTGATTTCGCTGGAACAGGAGGCTCTGATTGGAAGATGTCGAAGAAGTGTAAGCTTCGATGATAAGAGAATCTTTACATTATCTAATACACGTATAATGCGATAACTTAAGTAGAATAATCTTTTTTCCTTTTTGAGAAATTATAATCGATTCGGTGTTGAAATGGAAATAAAAAAATGAATGAACATAAACTCACGAGTCATCTTTGGATATTGAACATTCACCACCTTCAACTTTGCTGATTCTGTTTCGAAAGATGTCCAGTGAAAGGAAACGCGCACCTTAATTCTACACACCTGTTTTTATCTCTCTTGCCCATATGAACGTTGCAATTTATTTATTCGTCGACTCATTGACCCTTCCTCCCATTTCCAAATTCAATTCTATAGAAAATTGGATCGCTTATGATTCATCGCAACTTTTTAGCGAATTTTGAAACAAGTTTCTGGATCGTAAGTTAATGCTTTCAAAACAGAGAAAACGGTACGCGAAAGGTGAATAAGACGATTTCTTACGGTTCGTGTTGTACTTTGTGTTTTTTTTTAATTCGGTTCGCGTTGAAATTATGCGAAAGAATTAATTTTAATTTCTAATTTTTGTGTTTTTGTTGCAGGTGACGATGGCAGGGGATTACGTTTTGGCAGTCGCGTCGATTATGATATCCCAACTTCGGAATAACGATGTTACCTTCTGCCTTAGTCAGGTAAAATTCCAAATGATTTCAAAGTTTCACGTTATAACGGGTGCGTACAAGTACACGTACTCTAGGATCCTGATATAATCCTGACGAGAAGTATTGACAAGTCCAGGTGCTTTCCAGGTCGTGACGGACCTGGTGCAGGGTGAATTTATGCAGCTCGGATCGAAGGAAACGGAGAACGAGAGATTCGCGCATTACCTAACGAAAACGTATCGCAAGACGGCAAGTTTGATCTCGAATTCCTTGAAAGCTGTAAGTGAACGATGTCTATGGTGTTCGAAGGACTATTGGTTCTTATTGGAATCTCTATTGAAGACTGTGTGGTATTGCAGGTAGCTATGCTAGCAGGTGCCGACGAGCAACTAGCCGAAGTGGCCTTCCAATATGGTAGAAACGTCGGTTTGGCATTTCAATTAGTGGATGATCTTTTGGATTTTGTGTCTTCCCTGCCGACAATGGGCAAACCTACCGCAGCCGATCTTAAACTTGGTCTTGCAACCGCCCCGGTTCTATTTGCATGTGAACGGGTAAGAAATTAAATAGATCTGTAAGATCTATGCGAGAAATACTCTCGAGAATTGTATATCTGCTGCTGGTAATTTGGAGAACTACTGTGGATATAACAACACTGCATTTCCTCCTACGAATCAGTAAATAATTATATCTGAAAACCTTCTGTTAAATAAAAATAATAAATAATGATAAGAGCAATGGCACAACAAGAACCTTGAATCTGTATTTTGGAATCAGAGCAAGAGTTGTACTTCAGTCCATATTTACTATCTTATCAATAGTTTATATCTGGAATTAGGTCGACACCTTTACTGTATCTTACAATTGATTCTCAGACGTTTAGAAAGCTTGAAATTATAGTTGTGTCCACTGTCTGTTCTGTTACAGTATCCAGAATTGAACGCGATGATTATGCGTCGGTTTCAAGAGCCAGGAGACCCGGAAAGAGCGTTCGAGTTAGTCCATAAATCCCAAGGTCTCGATCAAACGAAATTCTTAGCTCGAAAACATTGCGTTGAAGCTGTGAAGCTAGCACAATCGTTAGCCGACAGTCCGTACCAAAAAGGTTTACAGGTGGTCTGCGATTTAGTGTTGAATCGCATGAAGTAGCGTTACAGGTGGTCACCGGGAGAATCGAAACGTGTGACGAAAAGTGTTGAGAGAAAACTGGTAGTCGCGAATAATTCACGTTGGCCCTGAGATACGCCAATTAATCAAATTGCATCGAACAAAGCATAATTAATGCTTACCTCTGATAACGTAACAGGTAGAACCAACTATAAAAGTTGATTATGCGTTCGATTGATTGTTATCGAGGGTAAAACTCGTAGTTCTATTTAAACTTGTATGTTTTGTAACATAAAAGTTTACGATGTTAATATTAATGTTAATTCGACGAATACGAATGATTAGAGGGGAAATTATTTTTATAAATTTCACACCACGTGTAACGGAAAGAGAAGAGTACATCATGTTGATGATTGTCTGTAAGGCAATATCGAGGTACGAGTGACGTTATCATAACGTTTCTCTGTCTATGTGCAAGTCTATATAAATTGAAATAAGTGTAATAAGCGAGCCGATCGCTTGTCAAGTGCCTGGTTACATCTTGCTAGGGAGAGAAGCATCCATACAGAACAGTGTAAAAAAGAAAAGACAAACGATAACGTTTACTTCGCTCTATATTGCACATACTACCTGATTTTTATCGGTATTGTCGTTAGCCAATCATAAGTGTAAATAAAATGACGTGTAGGAGTAGTTATATTGCATTAGAATTGGTAACTCTTTTTGATTGTTCTTTTCATCATTCTTTCTTAAAGTATTATGTGACACGATGTATCCAAAAAGAAAAGAAAAGCTATTCATGACAGTATTATAATTAATTAACTTAATCAATTCAAATATTATAAGGCGGACAGAGTACTTCAACGCGGTAGCAACTAATTTTTCAAATTACATATTTGATATTTTGAAGAGTAACAATCGCAAGGGTACCAATACTAATTGACAGCATAATTTAAAATCTCGTTTAAAGTGTGCGAAGAATACCTGCCAAAGAAGGCTGTATACATAGTCTTGATTCTTCCACTTGTATAAGAAATTAATTTTTGGCTTGTCGAATGTAATAAGTGTCATCTACTACCACAAATTTGCATATTACAAATTATTGGAATTGTTAGATTTCTTTTTTATATCTTCATTCAAGGTATTCGTGTTAATTTAAAAAAAGAAGAAAATGAAAGTGGAAAACCATCCTCCATGATTTTTCATATTCTTGAAACGGAAAGCTGCTCAAAATATTATTTACTACGTAACTGAACATATAGGAATAAATGTATAATAACTTATATTTATAACATGAATTAATGTATATAATTGCTCTGTAAGGTAACACAAATCACCGCTGTAAGATTATTAATAAAACAAAAAAAATTGCAAAAATGTAATTACGATCAAACGTAGATATGTATGTGTAGGGTAAGGATACTTCATTGGTACAGAGAAAAAGAGAATAAATGAAGCTCTCGATCTTTTACACACATATTTAACTTATTTATAACTCATTTAATTTATGTACGTTTTATTAAAATTTTCGTTACAAAGCTAAAACAACAAATTAGTTTAATAAGTAACAATAAATTTGAGGATTTTTAACAATTATGATGTACACAGTGGTACAAATGTACAAATACGCTGGTGTTTTTAAAAGAATGTAATATTCTTTTTACATGTAAAGTACATGTAAATATGTGAATTTTTGAATGCTCATTATAGCGAAAAATCATGAAATTGTTGTATAAACATTAAATATATTAACTTAGATCGATCAGCTTCATTATTACTGCATTGTAAGCTGGTAGGTTTCATTTTACTTGTTGTGTTGGGGAACACTATATCGCAGTTCATCAGAGTCCATAACTGCGACGCGCAGGTTGGAAGATGGTGGGGGAACGCAGCGAGCTCTCTGCTAATCGCTTTCCATTTCTTTTGGAAGTATCGCCAATCAGGGCGAAGATGCGCACTGGAGAAGCGCGAAGAACGAAAACTGGTCTTTTCGCAATTATGGACTCTGGTGAACTGTGGTATAAATCCATATTATATAATTTCTTTTCAATATAAATATTATATTGCAACTCAAAACGTATTTTAATCTGTTTAAAATAATAACGTTATTGCGGGATATTGAAATTTGGAAATTGACTAAACTTACTCCATTCAATATTTCAACATAACATGAGAACTTAAAATTTTTGTACAATCCATATTATCGATGATATAAATTATTAATTCTGATAAAAAACCAACGACACTAACAAAACATGATTAGAATTAATTTTTACAAAGATCAATAAACGAATAAATAATATTGTTGTGCCAACCACTACTTAATTTTCTTTGCTATTGTACTAATGTAAACCTTTCGATCGGTGTATTTTCGAAATGAAAGTAATTTTGAATCTTACAAAATATTATTGAACATCGATAATATAGGTATTATATATGTATATTGTATATAAAATGCTTATAGATGTCGTTTACTATGCGTTTCTGTTTGAATATACCTAACTCAAAATAAGCGCGAAAACACTCAACGCTTACATCTTGCCAGTTGAGTTAACCACTAACAAAAATTGAATCATATTTAGCAAAAAATCAAAATTATGGCAAGTTTATTAGACCTTTGTGAACAATACTTCGGTGCACGTGATTTTTATGAGGTCCTAAAAATTCCAAGAACTGCCAATGACAAACAAGGTACGTGGACATAACCTGTATGTACGAATTGACTTTTACTACCTTCGTTTTATGATTTAATATATTAAATAGAAATCATTATTTTATTTCAATACTAATTGAGCATTATTTTCCATATTTTCTTAGTGAAAAAAGCATATCATCAACTATCTTTACTCGTACACCCGGATCGTGTTGAGGAAGATGTTAAGGCAGAGGCAACAGAGAAATTTAAAGTACTTGGACGGATTCATTCAATTCTCAGTGACAATGAAAAACGCAAAATTTATGATCAATCCGGCGAGTACGATGAAGAAAGTGAAGAGGTTATGATGAGAAATTGGGCGGATTATTGGAGGTCTCTTTTCAAGAAAATCACAGTGGAAGACATCAATAATTATGAGAAGAATTACAAAGGATCAGAAATAGAGATCAAAGACTTAAAGCGTGCTTATATGGATAGTATGTAATTTTAATCCTTACACAATATTGATTGTGCATAAATACATAAGTTTTAATGCTTTCTTGCAGGCAAAGGAGACATGGATTACATCTTAGAAACAGTTCCTTTTACCAGCTGTGATGATGAACCCAGGCTACATGATATTATTCAAGGTCTTATAGAAAAAGGTGAAGTGCCAGAGTATAAGGCCTTCACACAGGAGAATGATAAGAAAAAGCAACGTAGAAAGCGTAAGGTATGTGAGAAAAATATTGTTTAAAAATGTATTTTATAATATCTACAACTCTTTGATGTCTTCAGAATGGAGCATTCATGTTCTATTTCTTTGCATGTAAAGAAACAGTTATTTAATGCAAATAATATGATTGATGAGATAATCAGTCATTCTATTACTACATATTGTTTTCTCATAAGTTTGAAATGTCAAACATGTTGAAAGATGCCAGTATGCGCGCAGGTGGCGATGTGCTCGTAAATTTGAGCTCGATCTCCCGCCACAGCCTCTGTTTCTGCTGTAGATCACCTTAGAGATCTGATGAACAAGTGAGCAGCGCGCTATTTTCAAGCTTTTCTATTTTTACCAGTACATAATACTGCTTCATGATTGGAAGTAGTAGGAGGTGAGCCAGTAGTACAAGGAATAAGAGGGGGAGCTCTAGTAAATAAGTAAAGAGGGAACGCATGAGAGGATTCAGTCTACAGAACAATTAGATCGATTCTAGCTCACTGCTAGATGAATTACAATTTTCGGCTAAAATCCCTACCACGATGACTGCGTAACTTTGAGTCGTCGAGACGAACGCGTGCAAAATAATGATACGTATTTTCTACCACGATAAAATCGTCAAACTGTTGTACAGTCGATCGTGTAATTTTTGAAACAGCTCAACTGATCGTTTTATCGAAATGGGTGCGATTGTCGAACTGTTACTGTTCACCACTGTTCTATGTACGAGTGTTGGTGGAGTGCAAGGCGAGTGCAGGCATGTGATGAACGACGACATGATAGAGTACACCTGCGAGGGTGGACGACTTTCCGACTTGAACGATCTTCCCGAGTCAACTGGAAAGATTCGAATCACTAACATGCCAATTTCAAGGATAACTACGAACACTTTCTCCAGATTCGGTCCAGACTTATGGGTCCTTAGTTGTTCCCAATGTCAGATAAGGGACATCGATCCAGGTGCTTTCCAGCGATTGAACAATCTCCAGCAGCTAAGTCTAGACAATAATTACTTAACCACCGTCAGAGAATCCTGGTTCAGCGGCCTGGATTATTTAACGTACTTGGACTTAAATTACAATTACATAGAATCCATAGAGGATGGGGTGTACAGGAATCTACCCAGTCTGATTGATTTAAGACTATCTGGTAATCGATTGGAATGTTTAAATCTGGAAGCTATGACGAATTTGAGAGACTTGAAGAGAATATTTCTCGGTGAAAACTCCGAATTCAAGTGTCCCAATGCCGTCAGCGCGTTCCTTGAAAGGCGTGGAGTGGTATTTGACAGGGATCCGGAATGGAGTAAAATTCCCAACGACTTGATCCCAGCGATACCATTTGGCTACGATATCGATGAGTATACCACTCCGGAGCAAACCATGGCATTGCCTACCCATCGCCAGAGACTACATCCAACATCAGCGACACCACCACCTCAGCCCATGGAATCCACAGCAACATACGTACCACCAAAGTTCCATACCACCGAAGAAGTAATCTATCGTCCAGTGTACACTCCAGATTGGAGAACAACTCCAAGACCAACGACTGAAGTCTACGAAGAGAGGGAACACTTCAGTACGCCCAGCCCCTATTACGATGACGTAGCGAGGTCCTACGTTCCCCCAAGGACCATCGCGCCAATAGACACGTACGAAACAACAAAATACGAAACTCAGGATGCAACAACCTTAAGATCTTGGCCGACATTCCCGGAATCCACCAGTGCCAGACCCGAATACCCGCTTTATCCACCCCATGAGAACAAGGACAGTAACTACGATGAGCAATATTATTCGAGCGAAACGACTAACTCGTTCCCTTTGGCACCTAGCCCACCTGATCGTCACGAAACACCGCCTTTCGTGGAATCTGATGCAGAGCGGACAACCGTCCCATATACGGATTGGTACGACAGGAATACCGTACCATCGTATCCACCTATATACAATAGGCCACCGGAGTACCGCGTCCCACCGACAAGTGAATCGCCTCCGACTCATATCGTCCAACCATTGCCTCCTATGTCGCCAGAAATGGTGCAGCCAGCCTCGCCAGATAACACGTTTCAAGCACCCTATTACGAGCACACGATTACCGTTCATACTCCACCATTGGTGGCCAATCAACCGTCTCTGGAAGAAGTGACTCCAGTTATGATACCAATTGAAACGACCACCGATAAACCGTTGCCCAATTGCCCGACCAGCAATTTATCTTCCTCGAGCCAGGGCTCCCTAGGGACGATCCTCGTCTCCTTTCTTCTGATCACGATTGGTCGCATCCTCGTGGAGGGATTTTAGCTAAAAAAAAAAAACAATAATCTTACCTTCTTACAAACTAACGTTAATCTATTAACGAAACAGTGCGGGCACGTATGTCCTGGAGTGACGGTAAATGGATTTAATCATAGACATTGGACGATCAAAGTGTAGCTATACGATTTCGTCGTTTTCTCTTCTCCGCATGGTGTTGAATCGATCACGAAGACTATGGTAATCATCGGTTGTTAGCTCGCGAACCAAACGGACCGTTGGTTCTTAAGAAGCACCGAGGAGCCTGCTGAACCCAAAGTGTACGTATTGGCTTGTTCGGCATGCACACGCGTGACGCATTGCTAAGACTCTAGATTGTGCAACATTGTTCCAAGGAGGAATGCCAAATACGATTTCCGTGCCGGTGCAATGCTGAATATCAATTGAAAGTAACGAGCGACGAGGGCCAGCTCAATGTATCCGGTGTGCTAATGAAATAATTACTAATGTCATCGTCCAATCTAATACTGTTGGCTGTTATGTAACGACCTTGACTGACGCGTTTGATCGGGATACTGCGTTTCGTGTTTTGTCAGCCGAGTCGGCACGCGATTACAAAGCGTTCCACTGTCTAGATGTATCCACGTCTGTCTCGCGAGAACCGATTGCTCTTGCAACAGGTATACTTACATATTCCTATGCGCTGACTGTTCGCCGTGTCCACACGCCAGCTCTAAATAGTAGACAGGCTGATCGACAGTGGCCTTGCCGGAAGTCTCGAAGAGACTCCGTTGAAGGGTGCTCATTGTGGTCTCGATAGAAACACGTGTGCACACGTGTGCATCCATAATGCGCTCCTATTGCAATAACTTCGCGCGGCTTAATGGGACTCGGACATTCGATGGCAAACGATTTAGAGTTATAAGATATAGTTGGATTCGAAAATACAGCGCGGTCTTTAGGAAACAGGGGAGATTCTGTTAATATCGTTTCGCGAGCGTTTTAAAAGACGAGGATGAATTCTTTTTTATTATAAATCTCGACGAAAGTTACAGTTGTCTGCAGACATAGTTTACGTAACGTGTAAACAGACACAGTCAGCACGTTTCGGGATCAGACATCACGCCCAATGTTGAACAAGCTTATTTTCTCTGCCGGACAATTTTAACCGGACAGACGTTGAAAAAACGTTTATTTTATCAGTAGAACTTGAGTCGGTGTTTTTTTTAATGGTTTCTCCATTACAAAATGTCTTGCTGAAAATTGATTTTTATGATTACCGAACTATATCAACGTACGAGATGGAGTTTAAATATAATTTTCAATTCTCCCCTCCGCCGTTTCTTTAGATATTATTCTTTCCAACGCGCGATAATCGTTCGTTTGAAAATCTGACTTGGTCGACGGAACGTTTTCTCGCAGATCTGGGTCACCGGATCGACCCGGTCGCCGTTCAAGGGTTACCTCGCGATCCCGGGGAAACTCATCAACGAAGCGAAGGTCTGCCTCCAATTCGCGATAAACCAGTTAGGATTCGTAACATTGAGCGTTCTAGGGTCAATTCTTGCGAAATTCCGCAACGATGACCGACCGCGAAGGGAATTCGTTATGCAACTGTGCCGCTACCTCGAACCCAATGACTATTTTCAATTATTTCGTGATTCTGATGATTTCCGGAGCGCCAGGCTCGCGGCCAGATCTGTCGTTTGATCTAGACACTCGGAGGCTAGGTAATTCAAGGTTGAGGAAGAGGAGGGACCCTGGGGCGTCCAATCGACGGATGCGTGGATGCACGTGTGTGCACTTTGAACAGTGGATATTTTGGTACCTCATTGATTCACAAATAGCTCCCGAAGATATTATCGATCGATCGACGTTACTTCTGTAGTAACAGCAAATCCCCCGTAGATCTGACAGATTGTTTATTTGAAATAGTTTGCCTGTGACTAACAGAGGAGATTCCTTTGGCTCTGAGCACTGTTCATCAGTATTTTTCCGGGTACTATTTTTAGGAGATTTGATTATTTTGTATCTGTTTCTTGGTTAAGGGCGAGGGTAGGACTTGGGAAAGCTGGGTAGCCTAGGGAGAACTAGAAGAGCCTAGGCTGAGCCTAGGGAGTACTAGGAGAGTTAGAAGCGTCTGGGAAGAACCTAGAGACCCATTTCCTTTAAATTCAAGTAAATTCTACCTCTACCATTCAACCCAACTATCTTCAAGTAACCTTTCATATTGAAATTAACCCTCTTCTTTTTCTATATTAATCATCCTACCAATGAAATATGGAATAGAAACATAGTGTGTAAACTGTTAACTGTACCATCATAAATTAATCTTAAGGCCATCGTTTCATAAGCATCATTTAGTATGAAATACTACGTCTGTTGTTTACTCATTTATCTGTTTGCATCAAAATAACAATGATGTAAACACCGCGAAAATAAATCCTCTCTAAAAGCAGAGGTCCCTTTGACAGCGAAACCTTGTTCCAGCTTCAAAGCTTAATTCCTGAGGAATTTACATATGTGCGTAGTCGATATGCTGACAGATGAAAGCGTCTCGTTAGTAATAGCTGATTCACTTTTCTCTCGGTAGGTCTCTGTCAAACGTCGTTTTGATAATTGTCGCATTCAGAATTTCGCGAACCGTTGTGTAATGGACTAACATTAGGATGTCTCTCGGATGTACTTGCCAGAAATTATAAATAACGGAATTTCCTCAGCGACGAATTATGGAGTAGGTCACTAGGAATATGGAACATCATCGACAAGTATGAACTATAAACATTCGCATCTGGACCTGATGAGCGATGATTAAGACACCCTTCAACGCTTCCACGAAAGCCTCTATTTATGAAAATCTATATTTTTCGCATCAATGAATTATTTAGATTATTTAGATGATTCATTCAAAATTTAATTTTGCAATTTTACCAATTTCTTCGATTTTTTTACACAATTTCGAAACATCTGTTTTTCTATTAACGTTATCGTATACAGTGTGTTATTCAAGTAATACAATGCATGAAAGTTTAGTCAATTTCTGAAGGCAAGAATCTGACGTATTTCGTGGAAATATTTTTGCGAACGTGGAAATAGAAACAGAGAGAATCATTGAAACAACGAGACGTACATTTTATTACCTTTCACTGTTGATTGAAAAGCCATATTGCTGGCACGTTGCCTTTGTTTTTTTAAACAATACGTCAAAAAACGTCAGGCATCCAACATTGTTCGCCAATCAACTTTTTTGAAAAGAAATTTGCAATTAAATTTCTGATGTTGGTTCTAAGTCAGAAGGATTAGTAATTAGAGAAGGAAGTTGCAACTGCTGAGTATCATCTTGATAGATTAAAATAATGTCTGATAATCTCGAGGATAGACATATGGCTAGCTTCGAAAATAGAGTTAGCCACGTTGTGAAGTGGTAGCAATTAATTTCGTTAATAAGGACGCCTCTAAGCTGCATCCAATCAACCTGTGATTTATACATCTCAATGGTATCTGTTGCTTGTTAATCGAGCTCCTTATTAATCTGGGTCAACCGATGTTATCAAAGTGGATGGAAAGGCAAAAGCTGGCCAATTAAAATTGTTGAAGCATTAACATTTTAAGGAGGGCTGTTTAAGTGAATTTTATTAAAATTTTATTTCATAAAAATCCGTTTAATAAAAATATTATTTAGCTATATTATTGATTAAATTTTTTTTTATTAATTTTCAGTGGGCCAAGGAAGCACAGGAAGCTGAACGTCTAGAAAAGATGCTTAAGATCGAAAACGAAGAAAACGCAGCTGCAAATAATCTAGCTTTGGCCATTCAAAGTCGCAACGAAGCTCGAGCAAGTCAGTCTGACAGTTTCTTCGACTCGTTGATTGACAAATACGTGAAGAAGGCGGAGAAAACGACGAAAAAGAAAGCCTCGCCCGTGAAAACCGTGAAAACCCCCAAAAGCACGAGAAAAACTAAAAAAAAGGCGTAGAATAATAGAATTTGTATACGAATCTCCCTCCACGTTAGCATATTCGCGCGATTTTTATAACTTCATCGTTAATTAGCGAAGATCGCATCGCTCTACCGTATACCTGTTTTTATGAAACAAATGGTAATATTTATGTTTTGTAAATTTTCGACGTGTAACATCGTTTTTAAAAAATGTCACGTCGATTCAATGGAATTCTTTGTAATTACATGTAGATAAATCATGTTCAAATATACAATTTGAATACATAACATTACTGATTGCTTAACCGCAATTAAAACTAACATAACGCAGAGTGCATTCGACCCGGAGCACATAAGTGGTAAATCTATATGAACAAATAAGTAAAAAATGTAGAGTGGCGTTTTTTCGTACGAGCCTCCGTTTCTGAATAAATCAATATTGTAAAACTTATGTATTTTAAAAATTTCCGCCAACACAAATGGCACCATCTACTGCTTGGTGCACAAAATGAACTTTTTGATTTTGCCGATAGGGTGCGCATTGTAGTTTTCCTTTTTTTCACCAGGTGTCACTTCCGGCCCAAGAATTGGCGGGATCATAAGTATGTTTTTACACATTAACAGTAGATGGTCCCACGCGTTTTCCGCTACGGCGGACTTTTTAAAGCATGAAGGGAGAGTGCACTTCCGGATCCGGTAGAAGCGTGTGGTTAATAAGGTTGACAGGTAAGGACAATTTTTCATCTACCAAATAGTATTATACTAAGAAAAATGAGGTTTTTGCATGTGGCCCTAATTCGATGACCAAAAACGCGCCATTATTAACCTAATCAATCTTTCGTGTCATTGGTCATAAGTTATTACTTGTTTGATTACTTGGTGTGGTGTCAAAGTAAGCGAGGGTAGATTTTCGATAAACCGGCATCGTGACGGTGGCAAAGATGGTATTGGTACCTCTTTTTATCGGTGTTAGTAGACATGGTTTATATCGGCGTCATAAGTGGCCGTCTCGTATGGTCAGTCTCGGATTACGTCTGAGCTAACTTGAACGACAACACACCATACATCGGGTGACACACTTCAAGGTAAACGGTACATTGATTTTTTTTTGTGATGCAATTTAAAATGTTCTCGTCTCGAGGACTTGAAAGAACGTCTGTCAATTGTCCGGTCTTCCTCCATGTTCCCGCCATGATCAATTAGCAATGATACGTAGGACATATCGAACCACGATTTTGAAAGAAATCAATGATGATAGGGCATAAAAATTGGCAAAAATTGTATACACAAGAGATATCAAAAGTTCTGTAGGTATATCAGTACCTGAATTTTTGATATAGGATTTATAGAAATACATTAGAGTAGGCAGATAACCTATAATAGGTTATCGATCGAAATCGAAGTAAATCGAGCAATGATTTATCGAAATTATTACAAAATCTTAATCTCCAATGTTTAGATAGAAAAAGATTATAAAAATTTCGATATTTTGTACTGTTATTTTATATTTCGATGGTTTTATTAAAAATTCATTATCTTATAGGTACCAGAGGTATTCAAACAACGCATCCGGTTTCATTTTGGCGGGAATTCTGAAGGTGTCACCCGTTGTACGATTAATCGACGCACACTTTTGCTCAGTCACGACCCAACGACCATCTTATTACCGGTACGCGATGCAAACATTGGTAGCAAAGTGTAAACCACCGCTATTATTAGCCGGCCGTGTAATAAGAGTCTGTGTTAGCGAGTTTCAGAAAGAAGACCGAAACACAATGGGGAGATTTTGCAGCGCACCTCGAACAATAATATTTTTTTCATCGACGTCGAAACAGCAATTAGATCCTGGCACGATGTTGTACTCCACAAAAGCAAGTAATCTGCTCGATGGCCGATTGTTTCCCTGGACGTCGATTCGATACCAATGAAACGGACCGCGATGAAATTACGAAGCAAAACATGAACGACGACGTGGAAGCGAAAGCAAAAGCAAAACGTTTTATAGAACTGCTAATCACCGGAGCAGAAAATGAAACATTGTTCGTGGTAGCAATTTGCGAGGAAATTAATTAAATAGCAATTTAACGCTTCCAGCAGCGTGTTAAATTCAAGGTATATGATAGGATGCTGAAAAACAGGCCGAATAAGTACATTGTTACATTTCATTGTATTCCATCATTGATCTCGTTTGTTTCTTGCGGTTTCATCTTTCACTTGAAACAGTATGATTACTTCCATATTAAATTCTTTTTTTTTTTCATTTTTGCCATTTCTTGTTAATAGTAGCTTATTATGATAATAAAATATCTATATAAAGTTAATTTTGAAACCGAGTAAAAGGATACAATAATTCTTTATTATTTTGTAATTGGTCAATGATCCACACGCCTGAGGGCCTATTACAAGGAATCTTAACGTCCAATAAATATACGGCTGCGGAGCAGGCATCAACGTTCATGGGGGGGAATAATAGCAACAAAATAATGTTACAATCGAGTGAAAAGTCTTTGTCATGTAAAGTGATATAATCAGTAAGCTATAAAGAATTCACGGTCGTAAAGCATTGTACGTATCTTACTCAACGTTTAACTCTCAGCCGTGATTCACGCGTAGTTTCTTGTTTATGGATCAATAAATCTGGCGGAGGGAAGAGAAATGAAGGAATAAATGAAATCTAACATCGACCGTGACATTTAATGAAGTCACACCTCAGGGACTAGCGGTGTAATTATGGGCCTATTCCTTTATAATCGTATTGATTTATCGAGTTCCGTTTTGATTGCTGAACGGACCACTTAATCTGCGATTAAGAATAATTAACTCGTCGTTTCTTCTTTTATACGCTTTAAAGCAGATGAAAATGAAACTCTGTCGAATGATCTAAGAAATATTGGAACAATATTCAAAGAAGTTGAGTGGTCTGGAAACAGTGTAAGTTTGAAAGGTAAACGAGCCTGAGAAGGAAAGTTTGTTTTAGCAATTCCCAGGCCTGGGAAGCAGGGAAAAGAAGCAGAGTAAGTTGCAACAATGCTTAGGCCACGATCAACGCGCCAATATTTTAAAGCACGGTGCCTTAACTTCGCAGGTTCTTCTTTTCCCATATGGACTCCTAATCACGAATCGCATCGGCAGATATAGCGTGTACCACGATGCGCACCCCGTTAAATCTCAGGATGGAATCAAGGGAGCGCTGATGGAGAGAAGGAGAGACACGGTGAAGAAGTCGGGGTTGCTGGGACGAGACAAAACGAGATGGAAGATGGAACCGTCCCAAGGAGAAACGGTGTAGCAAGGTAAGAGGAGGTGATGGTCGTATCGGTGGAGGTGGATGAGGAGGAGGAGGAGGAGGAGGAGATGGAGGAGCAGAACAGAAGGAGAAGGGGAGAGCGACATTCCAGAAGGCGGCGGCGGCGGTGGTTCTCGTGGGAAACCAAAGAGAGAGAGAGGAGAGAGATCTCGTCTCGAGGAGAGGTTGCGAGCCTTAAGGCACCGTTCTCATCTCCAGACGCGCGACAAGACCGCGGAGAGACTCCTGCCGACAGTTGTCCAATTTATGATTCAACACGAATAATTCATCCCCTGCTCCAATTACTTCTTCAGCAATGCTACAAGAGTCCCAATTTCTTTACTTTCAAAGACTTCGGCAGATGGGCATTTGCTATTTAATGAAAGTACTAAAATACCTTGTTAGGTACGAATATTGGTATCAAAAAACGATAAGGAAGCGAGGTAACAGAATTCCACGCATCGTCAGACGAAATTTATCGTCCCGCTAACGAAACGACGTGTACGGGAAATTGGATACAGCATTATTCAGTGTTTCGAACTACGAGGATATTTATGAGCGCACTTGATATATATTAGTAGCAATAAATGCATGCGTTGCCTTCTTTTGTTTACACCTAGGCTATTGCATTATTCTTTCCTGATAAAGCCACGACAATGCACGCCAGCTCTGTAACACGATCACCTACATCTACACGAAGGTGATTACGATAAAGAGTCCGATTCTGACAAGGCAAGAGCTCGAGCAATGCTTGATTGATCAGATGAAACGTGTTGGAATAATAATCCATAGGTGGTAGGATTTGGCTGAAGGAGTTAACAAGATCTTCCAGAGGACTCTGTGAATCGGCCCTTAGGGTTAATCTTCACGAAGCTCGGGACAAGTGATTTCAAGCCAAACGAAGAACACTCGAGGAGAGAGAGGATGATATTAAACCCACGAGGTTTTCGATCTTCGCGAAGTTCCCTCGATAGTAATCTTTTTACATTCAAATAAGAAAGAAAAAGGATATCGCTGACCCTGTATTAATTCATTACAGATTAATTGGCAGGAGGAATATTTATTTTATTCTTTTTAAATTGGTCAACTACTAATGAAAAAATAATTTGTAGGTGCTTCAGGATGGTGTCCACCAGTCCTCCCTTAAAATTACAAATGGCTATATGCATCCTACATGCAAATGCGCTATAAATTGCACAGTGCAACCAGCCCGTTCAAATAAAAGCTTGATCACTCGGTAAGTGGCTGTTGGAGAGTGCGTTAATTAGGTACTTAAAATGTTTCTACGTGGCAGCAGGTAGCCAGGACATTTCGAGTAACAGTCCTCTTATCTCACATACGGTTACTCGGAGCGCAATGACAGCCCCAGTGACAACGGCTTGTCATCATCGTCGTGGGATGTTGTATGGTGGCAATAAACGGGCTCATTATTGTTATTACCGTCGTAAGTCAACGAAGGCGTCCGAATGCGGCTCGTTATAACACGATAATCGGTCAGCAAGCGTGTGCATCGGTATCGGCAACGACATGCACGCGCTTGATTACGCGAAAGGATAACGTCCAACTAAACGGCGCTGAGAAACTCAACACCGATTCACCAGCTGGAATATCCATTTCTCTGACCGCTGACGTCGCACTACCGTCCACCCTGGAGCCTTGATCCTTACTCCTGTACTCGAGTTTCCAATAAATACTTGACTGAGAAGATCACTACTTCAAATTAGTTAATAGGAGACATAAATGTCTCTGTTCAATTTTAATCGTAGTTTACTTAAACCCTTTAATGTACTAACTAATGTTAATTTTCAGGGGGATCCTGAGCAAGAAGGAGGAGTGGTCTTCGCCTCCGGATTCTCATTCGAAGAGCCAAGGCACATCGGGATGTTAGCAGGACTACTCGGGAAAAGAGAGGTGCAACCGAATGGTGCAATGAACATTTTGGACAAGGGTCAGAGGGATCGGTGCAGGTTCATAGGAACACCCTGTATAAGGTAGGGCGCAGAGGCAGGCTGGTCCGCGAGATGAGAAGAAGAAGGAGGGAAAAAGGTGGAGAGTTAATTGAATCCGAGCAGCGTATAAGTGGAATGGCCTATTCCTCCTCTGGTTCGCTCCTCTTATTCTTCTTTCTTCCCGCGTGCCTCTTCTCCTCCCCATACCCTTGCTCTTCTACCATGTCTCCCTTGCCTTGCCTCGCGCCGTCCTTCGTAGCTCCTTGTACCCCCTTCGGACGGGGTACCGAGCTGGATCGGTAGGTGGAAGGACGCCGGAGGACGGAGGGAGGAAGCATTCCTTTGTCTCTGCGCGCACGGACCTAGATCATATAGTATATATAAACGTGTATAATGTGCACGCGAATGTGCAACAATGTATTGCGCGTGCTTGAGTGCATTTGGAGCACGAAGCCCGTAACGAGGCACCGAGGAATTTCGTGGCTGAACGATACATTATGAAATGCATAACACCAGAGTTCATTACTTTAACGTGAATTTATTTGACAAGATGTTTTTTATAATAGGAGAAACAGAATATTTATATCTAAACTAAAAGGTTCAGTATTTTGTTGGAATTGATTCGCCTATCTCAGTAATTGATAGAGGAAGTTCATAACAAATGTTTCAACATTGTTTTAAACTATGTTTCCCAGAGTCCAAACGATCCGTGTCTAAGAATAATTTTCTTTTATGGTATCCAGCTGCCAGAAATCCTATTTGTTCAACTGTAAAAATGCAGAACTAAGTGGATGACGTAAGTTGCGTTTACATTGTCCAGAAGCACGGTACGCGGTCACAAGCGATCACAATACCGTACACGTGAAGCGTGTACTGTAAGACATTCATGGTACGACACATTGCGAAGAAAAGCAGAGGGAGTTTGAACCCCACGCAGCAAGCGAAATGTACCCGGATCCGAAGCTGGTTCTACGCTACTTGTTTCCTGAAAAAGATCGATCGATCGTTGTTCACCGCAGGATCCAGGCAGAGCTACTTAGATCGGTAAAAAATCTTGTTGGATTTCCGCGCGCTACCTGGACGGACGATGATTTTTGTCGATGACAGTACTGCTGGCTTCTCACCGCGGGTGCTCTCCAGCACCCTTCGCACACACGCTCCGCGTATTTGCGTACCCCGAAATAGCCGTACCCTTCTCTCTGCTCCGTCAGACGGTGAGAGGATGAGGATGAGGACGCTGAAGAGGTGGACGAGGGACGGGAAGGTGGAGCGGAGCGTGTATACCGCAAAACCAGTTCGCTGGTGAGTAAACAAAAAACGAGAAGGAGCCAACGCCGCGGCGCGGCCTCGTTGTCCGTTGCGAGGGGAAGAGAATCACTGGTTTATTGCTAATTCGAAGACATTCGCCCGGCAGAAATGAAATTTTATAGTCCGCCTGCGGAGCGGGAGGGACACTCGCGTCACCGAACATACGTGGGAGCTGTGATACAACGGGAACCTGGCCCCTTGGCTACGCTCCTGCCAGGACAAATGCCTTTCCTGCCTCGATCACTTCCAACTACTTCGAACCTACGACCCTGTATGTCCTGATAGCTGAATCTATTCATGCAAGGAATAGAAATGGATAATAGTAATAAATCTACATAGATCACGGTAAGGATTGCTTTATTGAATCAGTAGTAATAAAATGAATACTTAAAATTTTTAATTTGTCAACTCTAATTCAATGTTAGAATTCGAAGAGGAGTTGGAATTTTCAACGTTGAAGAATTAATGAAATTAATGTCTGGAGGTGTTCGAATTACAAGAAGGAAGCTTACCGAGAAATCTGACGATTATTTTCTCCGAAATCGTTCTCGGTTTCCAACACGGTCTCGAGCGAAAGCCCAGCGGGTGGCTCGCGTCACGAGAATGCAGCTCGCAGCGGCGAAGCTCATTACGTTGGCGTGTGCGTAAGAACTTCGTACACGCGATGTAATCGCGGCGGTGAAACTGACGCGGCGAGTCTCACGCAGCACGGGTCATCATGTCGGTGAGAAATTTTTCTCTTCTTGCATTCTTTCTTTTTTTTCTTTATTACAAAAGTTGCGATGATGCTCATCAATCATCGACGAATCGAATGAGGCATCATGCCGAATGAAAGAAAGAAAGAATCGAAGAAAAAAAGAAACCGTATCGTTGTACGTATGTTAGGTGATAAAAGGAGCGAGTCGAGTGTTCATCTGGTCTCTCGCAAGATCGCACGGAGATTACGTCTCGTACGGCAGCCGCTCAAGTGTCGCAGTTGCACGTCGTTAATGCGAGGCAGGTGCTAACGCGGTGAGAAAGAGAAGACAGGGGAGAGAAGGTGGCGGTGAAGGAGAAAAGAGAAGATGCGCCCGGATCCCGTCCTCCCCCTAATTGACAAATTGGAATCTTATTAGAAGCTCGTGATGCCGGAGGTACCCCGAGGCAGGAGGAGCCTCGAGGCGCTCTCCCTAGCTGGTAAGAGAAAGACCGAGGAAAAAGAGAAAGAGAAAGAGACAGGTAGCGAGAGTAGCTGTGAAAGACGAGGAGAGAACGAGGGGCATAATGCGTGGATGGCACGACACTAACAGGTTGTACGGCCCACGGTGGAACGGAAAGAAGAAGTACCTTACGCTCGGCCTGCCGGCCGGCAGGCGAATGCCACCCAGGAAGCGTTCGCGCGTGCGCGATCTGTGTGGCCTCGGCTCGACTCGACCACCGGGCCCAGCCGAGTACTCACGAATCGGCCCGATTTAACACGAACAGGCCCGAAGCCGACGTGTGCTGGCCCACCCGGTAGAGCGCGCGCGTGCCGCGTCCTGTGTGGTCTTACGCTTGCTTCTTCGCTTCTTCCTATTCTTCCTTACCCTTCTACCATCTCTCTTCCACTATCCTATCATTCTTTCTATCGTTCTGCTCTCTTCGTACACTCGTCTCTGTCTCATTTCCTCCCGCGCTTCTTTTTTTCCATCCTATCGTTTCATTTTCTTTTTTTTTCTTTCATCTTTTGTTTCCCTTTCCCGTTTTTTTTCCTCCTTTTTTCCACAGATTCTCAAACGTTTTTCTCGTTTTTTCTCGCCGCTCGTCTGCTCCTCTTTTCTCTTCGACTTCTCACTCGTTTCCACCACGGGAAATTCTTGCTTCACTTCGCTCTTCTTCGCAGCCCAAGAGTTCGCCGTTCGAGACACGGCTACGTGCCCGTCTCTCCTTTCTCCTGTCGGTTCCCTCCTCCCTGCGTCGCCGCAGCACGGTCCGCGCTGTCTCTTGGCTCGGTCCGGGCCCGCGAAGATGAGCTGGCCCCGAAGAAGAAGAAGAACAGCGAAAGGTGGAGGTGCTGACAGTGGCGTAAGTAACGAAGGATCGTGTAGATTGGGCGATATTCCCGGGGACAGGAGCGCGAAATGGAATTCTAATTAGGCAGCCGTCTCGTTACCGGCTATGGAACGGGACAGCCCAGGTTAGGAAGTTAAACGACAGGGCAATTTGTACGCGGGCATCGGGCCTCATTGTACGGCTTTCCATTGTATCCGTCGAGTAGGTGAGAATGAAAGGATTCATCAGGGGCGTTGTGTTGGTCGACGCTACTTGCTAGGCCCTTTCCTTCTTTCTTTTTCTCTTCACGTAAGCCTCTTTGATGCAAAACACTGTCGGTCGAAATGATCTACGAAAGACGGCGGCCAGTTCAAAGGGGAAGATCGGGCCCCTGTGTATTAACTATTCGTCGCGAGGAACAGTTTCACGTGTCACGTTCACAAGGGCCATGTAGAATTTTATCTACGTCAGTGGGCAAAGAAAGGAGACGAGGTGGTAAGCCCACTCGACTCGCTTCCACCTCTTCTCCTTTCCCGCTTCTCGGTTTCCTTCACACGGCTTGCCTCGACCACGTGCTAACTTACGAGCTACGATCTCTGTACCCTTCCACTTTTCTTTCTTTCTTCATCTATATACCTGTCCCTCTTCTTGTTTCACCGCTTCTCTCCCAGTTTTTTATCTCTGTTTGTCTTTTTCTGTCTCTCCTCAGACCGATCCGGCGTCGCGTCGCGTCCCGTCCAGTCGTCTCGCTTTTTCGCCTCCCCTCGAGTTCTCCTCGGATTATTAATCCACTGACGAGAGAGGATCCGTGGCGTTCGCGGAGATTATGGGCCGAGAGCACGATCAAGGTGCTGCTACGTTAACAAGCATCAATAGGCCGACGGGACGAAGAGGGATCAGCATCGTAAAACGTGATTCTCAGGATGAAAGATCGCGCTTTCCTGTGTCCTTTACCTGTACCCGTACCTCCTTAGCCATAATGATGCGGCCAGTACCTTGTGGTAACTGATGTGTGAGATTCATCAGATCCCTTAGGACACTTAGGGACACGTTAGTAAGAATACCACTCTAATTCTCTCGCGTTCATCATTATCTTTATCCTAATTATTCATACGTATGTCTCCAGGACGTCTACAAGTTTTGAAGCAGTTCATCTACCTAAAGTACCAGACGCCGAGTTTCATCGGTTCAACAGTCGGTAGACTCAACAGGATATCCGATCGAACATCATGGATGTAAGAGGTAAGTGGGTGGATGATATATTCCTTTAGAACGATTCACACGGTTTCACCGTGTATTCCGAATCACGAAAATAGCGTGCGCTCGTGACGCGGGGATAAACTGTTAGGCTAGGGCGCGATGATTGGTCCCGGTCGGTCAAGCGTATTTTCGCGCGTAAAATGTAAATGGCGCCGTTCTGTGTTCCCGAGGCTGGCCAGTTTCCACATCTCGTAGGTGTGCGTCTGGTGGAGAAAGATGGTAACGGAGGAAAAAGGGGGAAAGAGAGAAGGGAGGCAGGGTTCAAAGAGCCGACAGTGGTTAAAGAGCCTTCTTCCTCTCTCCACCTCGACACGCACAAGTAGAAGGCGCAACCTTTCGAGCTACCCAGAAGAGTATCATCCTTCTACCTTTCTCCCTTGCTCACTGTTGGCTCGCTGTTGCTCTCGGCACCTTAGGTTCTCCTTATCCTGCTGGCAGAGCAAATTTATTTCACGTTCCTGCCTTTTCTGGACCTTTCACAATATTTGGCCGTGCTTTGGCATCCAGCACCGGTCGCGGCCGGGTACTGGTCACCAGAAGATACGGCTTTGAGCCCTCGGTGATGGATGGTTCGCTTCTCCAACCCGCCACGAATTGCTGCTTCTACTCCGTTGCCCATCTCCCTTTCTCTCTCCACTCTGCTATCCTCTTTCTTTATCCCCCGATCGTTCGTCTCGTTCTCTCCACTCGCCCCTTCGGTGGATCTTCCTTCATCTACGGAGGATGCTAGACCGCCGCTGCCGGGGTCCAGGGCCGGTCAGTTCTAAGGTGTATACACGTGAAGTCCCTTGTCGAGATCGGTCGATCTACCTTGCGTCCAGAGTTTCGGCTCTTCTGGATTTCGTCGTTCCTCCTCTGCAGCATCGTTCGGTACTCTTCCAGTCATCCGCGAGCATCGATACCGACGCGTATACCCGGTGTCTCGAGTATTTTCGTGATCACGAGGAAGGAGAGGGACCGATGTTCCTCGTTGAATTGTTTCGTACGAAGAGAAATGAAAGTTGAAACGGATGATGATGATGATGATGAAGAGAATGATCGGTCGAAGAATGGTCCGTCTGTTGGGCTATTGCAACAAGCCGTCCCTGAGTCCGAGGACCCGCAGCCCCGGCACCGTTCCACCGAGTTCGTGCAGGTATATAAATTCTGGTGCTATTATTGGGGTTTGTGCCTTCTCACAGAGCCCTCTGGGGCCCGCGGCGGCCTCCTTTGAGCTACTCTTTCTACCTCTCTCCTTTTCTGCCTCGTCTCTCTTACGCCTCCACTGTTTCAACAGGCTCTCCCCTACCTTCATCCTCGCTGTCTTATCCTGCCACACTACCACCGTCTCCTTGTCTTTCCTGCTCCTTTCGCCTCCACCTCTTCCTCACCCTTTAACTCTCGCCCGTCCTCCCTTTTCCTCCCATTCTCCACCTCGACGTGGATCCTACACCGCCCCTGACTTGTTTGTTTTCCCTCGCGTCGTCTTCCGTTTGCTAAACGCACCTTAAATTACGCGGCCGATGATAAATATTTGAGCCGTCCATTACGCGAAAGGGCCACTCGGACCTCTGTCCGACCGGTGTTACCTTCTTCAGCCGACGTAGGTTCCACCGTTGGATCGTGTTACTTTGTAAAAGGGACACCCTGGCCTGCGATGCTGCTCCTTGAGGTGCAATGGTGGCGTCGCGCGGCATCCTATCCCATTGTTTTTTCAGAAATAGAGGCAATAGTTATTGCAATCATTAGGACCCTATAGAAACTTAACGGATATAGGGATATTGGGGTTTCTGTGATAGGGAATATTTAAGATTCACGTTTACTTTGAGGATAATTAGACTTTAATTAAAGAAAATTACAAACAGTAGCGTTACAAGTAACTATAACTATCGAATGATGCAAATTGATTCTTATTTCCTTAATTTAACGTATTTTGCAAGTTTTGAGGTTAAGTTCCATCATGGCGGCCGACGGCACGGCAACGCCGCGCTATTACTCGCACCTCGAATTTTATTTCCGCTACGAGCGAGCACAACCGCCACAAAAGTCCAAGTGCCTCGTAACAGGATTATGAAATGTTCCGGAGTAGCGTTCCACGGATGTTTACAGCTCGCAAATACTCGTCGCCTTTTATTACCGGCGAGTTTCAGCGATTCTGGCATCGGCGCTTCGTTAACGAGCGACGTTTTATACTTTCTGTTCCGATCGTAATTCTCTGCCCTTCGTGTACCACGATACGCGAAACTTAACCATTGTTTTTCCACTTTCAAACTTTTCCTTTCTTTCGGGAATCCTGTAGATGTCGACGCGTGTTACGTACCATCCGGAACGCTACTCGAATTGTCAACACGGTTTGTTTGGCGAACGGTCTTTATCTACGTGGGTTAGACTAATCTCTAGTATGGCTCTCGTCTTTGCCTCCGCTTGCTTGGTTATTTTGAAAGCCGATATTGTTGCGCGTTCTTTAATATTGTAGCTATTGAAGCTGTTCTTAATGAAGGCATTCGAGCACGTACTTAATTTAATCCTATTCTTATTACTTAACTCTTTGAGGCACGGAATTTTAGACAATAAAGAAACCCATGTTGCAGAAAAATTTTATTCTTATAAAATTGAACAAATTAAAAAAAACCATTTAATTAATTAATTAATGGGTGGGATATAAACATCTACATCGTGGATCTATGAATGGTATTGATTGAAATAGGTGGATACAATTTTAATATTTCGAGGTGGTATAAAAATCACTCCACCACGTGTATTTAGGTATCGAAAAGATTTTGATAAAGTTGTAATTTTGAAGTATGAGATCGTATCGTGTAACAGTTGCGATGTATTACACAAAGTGTTATTTCCTCGTAAAGATAAGAACCTTCGTATTCAGGTTGAAAAAATAGAAGAAAAATGCGGAACATCTGTGAATGACTTTCTCGTTTCATTCAGTACCACTGTTACATAAATATTAGCAATCAATGGAAACTGGAACGGTGAAACGATCTTGTTCGCGCGAAGAAAGGCTTTTTCTCGTTTCAAGTACAATGCGGCTCGCTGGCGGAATTTCAAGGAGCCCCATTTTGTTTATACCATGTAAATTCAGACGTGTCATTGATAGATTGCCGTTGGCCCACGGAGTGGGGGCGGCCGGGCCGCTTATTCACAAAAGATGTTTATTATCGGTAAACTCGGAACAGTTTGGTAGACAGTGGGCTCGTCCCTTCCCGCCTTGTCCTTCGGTAGACTTGGACTTTCGTATCAGTTGGCTCATAGCTGTGGCTGGTGACGTTTCATCGCTTGCCACCGCTCGCGTCGCGTACCTCGCCTTCAAATTTCTAACCACGCGCGTATCTTTTATTATCGCGATCGCGCCAGGTGTAGCAGTATTACCTGGATAAACGTAGCGCCACGGTTTAACCCCGATATCGCGTCGCGAGAATCGGTCTGTAAGCTTTGCTCCAATTCCTTACTCTATAAGTGATACCGTCGAGAGTTCGTTTTTAAAAAAGACATCAGTGGGTTAGTGCTGCTAAAGGATCAACCTGCGGAAGATGGGGGAAGAAAGATACATAGTACCGTCGTCGCGTTTGAGGAGAAATAGAGAAGGAGGCTCGATGCAGCAGACACAGGGTAGGAATGCGAGAAAAGCGGTAATCGAGCAAAGGTGGAGCGAGGAGGAATGGTAAAGAAGAGCGAAACTTGACGGGTAGCGAAGTCAAGGTGAACCCACCCCACGTTTCGACGCGTACAGGGTACTCGCGCGCTCGCCCCGGGGGTAGAGACGGTCATTGAGAATCTTGGCGCAACTCGGGCGACCGTGCTGGTACACTTGGAGTACCCACGATCCGACGCGGGCAAATCTTTCTTCGAGGGGAGAACCCGTGAGGCGAGGAACAAGGTAAAACGTTGTTACAACGACAACGAGGACAAGGAAAAGGACGAAGAGGAAGGATGAATCGAAGGCGCTAGGTGGGGATCGGTGGGACAACGTAAAAGGAAGGAAGAAGGACAGTCTGTGCGGCAAAGAAGCCGAAGAAACGGAAAAGATTGGAAAGAGAGGCGAGGATAGAAAAGGGAAAGAGCGAAAGAGAGGGTACGACCTCGATCAAACCGAATCGAACGAGGAGAAAGCTAAAAAGGTTTTCGAAGCCTCTCCCTTCGCCCTCTGAAGTTAAGTTCTCTCTTTCCTCCCTGTCTGTTGCGATACACCTGTCCTCGTTTACCTCGTGCACGCCCCGCCCCGACCAATGGAGTGTCGAGAGGCCCGGTGACGTCAGTAAAGGTGAACCAGGAGGGCCAGTGTGGTGGTGGGGGGGGGGGGCAGGATCATCCACCACCACGTTCGGAGGCCGTGAGAGCTGCACGGGGGCCAGCAGCTTAGCTGGTAACCAGCACCAGCGGCCCGGCTGCCCGTTGGCCACCTTGGTGGGGGCAGGAAGAGGGGCACCCTGGACCCCGACCAGGCCAAAGGAACAACGCAGAGTACCCACACGAAACCCATCCCGCATTTCCCACCACTGACTCGTCCGGAAAACGTGCGCAACAGAGCTTCCGGACTGCTGCTCGGGCATATATCGAGTTCAGTCAAGTGAGTCAGGTCGATCGGGTGTTACATCTCGATAAATAGTCGATCATTCAAAATCCACGATTCACATACGGCGTAACAAAGTTCAGATTCGATCTTGGAGAACCGCGGTCCGGTGAATCTTCGTTTCGAAGAGTGGGTGAAGCGTCTCGACGGTGTATATCTCGGTGATGGTTCCCCTTTCGATCTTTAAGCATGTACGCGTCGATGGATGAAGCATCGTATCGGTATAGAAAACTTGGTATCGGTATCCTGACGTAACGACACTGATAAGTAGTAGCGAGGAAGGGAGGATTGGGGGAGAAGGAGATCTCCTTCGGAGAGTCGGAGTAGTGATTAAAGGAAAAGGCGTGGATCGTTTCGTGCCGATTAACACACCGGTTGATCCGCCGATATTTCTTAGCTTTCGCGGGTGGGTGGATTAGACGCCAGCTACAACGATCGCAACAACGGTGATAAGAGTGCGCGAAGGGGGGGTGTGTGATGCCCTGGTTATGGTTAAGCGTGAGTGAGGTCAGTGGCAAGAGGAGGAGAAGAAGGACCGGCTGCTCGACGTCCGCGTCGCCGTCGTGGTCGTCGTCGTCGTGGTCGTCGACGTCGTCGTCATCGTCGTCTAGGTCATCGTCGTTCTGTCAGCCGTGGAGGAGGAGGATAGCCGGCGGCGGTGGTGGTGGTGGTGGTGGTGAGAACTCGGTGGTACCGTCGACGTGCTCGACAACCGACGGGCTCAGCAAGGTCCGCGTACACGAGGATCACCGACCAGTGACCAGCAGGCAGGGTCGTCCTCGAGTCAGAGCCACGTGATTATGGTGCACCATCATCATCGTCGTCGCGGCCTTCAGGCGAGCCATCACTGCGCGCTCAGGAGGCGAGGAACGACACCCTCGCTACTCCAGGTGTTCATGCTGATACTCTGTCTCTGGCTACCGGTGTTGGATAATAGTGGTCTCGTCTTGGCATGCGGACCGGGCAGGGGTGGCGGGCGACGTCCGATCCTACGGAAACTCACGCCGTTGGTGTTCAAGCAGCATGTGCCGAATGTCAGTGAAAACACGTTGCCAGCCAGCGGGCTTAGCGAGGGTCGAGTGTCCAGGCATGATTCCAGGTTCCGAGACCTGGTGCCCAACTACAATGCCGACATCATCTTCAAGGATGAGGAGGGCACTGGAGCGGATCGACTGATGACACAGGTGACAGAACGTTAAAAATTTAATTGCTCTTCATTTTCCTTCCAAGTCTTTCAGAATTTTCGCAAGCTTACGTTGCACCTACGTTAGGAGTACACTTGGGTGCAACGTCGGCTTTAATAGAGGGTGGCACCTTTGATTTTGAAAGAACCTAAGAAAAATCTATCGCGTATACTTCACGATATCCCAATTGCAAGCGTACACGTTACGATATCTCGAACTAGTCATCACTGCTAGGGTGTTTTCGTTCGAAACTTCTACGGCAACTCGTTGTCACCGATAAAGCTACCGAAGTGCGTCAATCTGCGATAAAGATTGTCGTCCTTGAAGGAACTCGCCGATGAATCATCAGAGAGGCGACGCTACTTTTTTTCTGGCATCGATCGATTTGTCAATTTAATGGCAACTTAAAAATGGTTGAACTTGCTAGAAGTTAGGGCGTCGGATTTACTTAGGGGAACGCGTTGCTCCGCACGTAGGAGTAGGGAACTTGTCTAGAGGATTCTAGAAAGACGAGGCAGTCAGTGACCTTTACGTTTCGATTCCGATAATAGTTAGCTGATTCACACGTGAACAATACGCGAATGCTTTTCGAACATAGCGCGGGAATAGAAATCCGGTGTGTTCCGTGACAAGAAGTTTGGTTATTCAGTCGGTTGATGTATCGCGTACTTGGGAAACGTTATGGGAACATGGTGCATCATCGGGAGGGAAACGTCATGGTCAAGGAAAAATCGTGTTTATTTTATCAATGAAATAACTTAGAAATTTTTGATCGATGATTAATAGCTATCGATAAGAGATCAAAAATTCGACGAATGGAAATGATGAAATATTTACCGTAATCTCATATTAGTAATCCTACGATATAAATCAATTTTATTGACGATTAGACAACGTTAAAAGTCATCTAGACTCTTGGATGATTAAGACGATTGTCGTTGTCGGCGACATTTTCGAGGAGCATGATTCGCAAGAATTGTTCTCCGTCATAGGATTCACGGCGAATTAGAATGTTATAAGGCTCATAGGATGGTCGATTGAACGAGAGATTGATTGCATTTCTCGTTTGAAAGCGCATGGTTGACGGGCGCGTTAACTGCAGCTACGCGTGTTATTACTTCAACGCGTGTCACCTCGCTCCGTGGCCGTATGACAAATTAGCTACTATAGCTCGTTAAACGTCCGCAGGTGATTCACGTGAAACGCTATCCACCCGATAAGAGCCTCGATCGCTTCTGAATACGTTTCGCGTGCAGAGGATCAATACCTGAAACTCGAATCACATCGTAGGATTTCACGCGATACCGCGCCGTCTAACAGGCTCTTCCTCTTGCTCGATAATTTATTTCAATATTTTCATTACCCTTTTTACGATTCAAAGGATGTTTTGATAAATTTAATAATTCCTCGTTTTTATTATATTGACAAATTGGTTTGTTGGTAATGCGTTGAAATTTTTTACTTAGATATTTACTTGCTTTTTCTCTTTCGAATAGAAGGATAAGATTTATTACCGCAAAGTACTTTATGATTTAGTGACGCTGGGATTAAGTAAACAGCAATTTATTACACAGCCATTAATTAATCGTCTGTCATCGTGCTTCGCAAAATTACCTCTATTGAAAGAGAAGAAGAAAATGTTAAATGAAAAATTCTAATAGCAATTTTATTTGACTCTGACTTTAGAATTTTCAAATGTACACATTCTCCGTATTGAATGCGAAACGTTTGAAAAATCTCTCCTCTAACAATCTTCCCATTGACGGACGTTTTCGTCGCAGAGAAGAATCTCCATTTTCAAGCGATTAGTAAGGTTGAAAGGATAAAGGAAGAGGAAAAACAGGGATCTCCTGTTGTCACCACCTGTGCCTCTCCACACTCTTGTTCGCGGACCTTAGTCTCTTCTTCTCCTACTTCTTCTTCTTCGATGTTTATTCCCGGTCCATAGAAGTTCCATTAGTGCTTTATTCATGCAGTTTTTATCGGTGTTTGCCTTCCACTTGGCGCCCCCGCGAAGCGTGAAACGATTCTCCTAACTCTTGGCCCGTTGTATTCCAATTTGTAAGTCCCACGTTTGGTGATGCGGCGAACAAAAGGGCGGCGCGGGGCCGGTTTCCGCTCGTAAACCATCCCTCTTCCAGCCTCGCTCGCTGCTTACCACAGGAAAAAATACGTAATACGAATCCCGCTTTCACTCTATGTAATCAAGATAACAATGCGTAAATTGATATTAGTCATTTAACGAAGATTCTTTCGTTTAATTGCACCGAGGGTGTATTAGAAGTCGCGATCTTTAAATTTTCTATCAACTTTGGATCAATTTATTGATTCCCTTAATTATGAATTCTTTTATTTTTATTGAAAGTAGATAAAGAAAGCATCGGCTATTTACTCGCATTTTGCAAAACTCATAGGCTTTATCGATACACCCGGGGGGATGAACATTGAACCGGCGCCGAAACTATCGTTCGCGACTGTGGTTTCACTCGTTCAAATATTATTTCAAGATTTGCTTTGCACCGTGTATAAAGGTCAGCCCAAGAAAATTTTCTTAATTTTGGAAAATCAGTCAAAGTTCCATCGTATACTTTGTTCCGCGAGCGGACAGATGGAATCGCGCGTCTCCGGGCGTCGATGTCTCCGCAGCGAGAAGGTACCCGTCGCTGAGTTGCCGGCGTGCTCGTTAACGCCGTGTTTTGTCAGCATGAATCTCGTGTCGCGAGACGATCGTAAAATGACGGTACCCTAATTAGCAGGGTTCACCGACAAATTTAAGTGCAATGAATAATGTAACTTTTCTGCCTTTCAGTCGTTTTCGAAAATCCAATTCTTCCATCGTTGATTTACACGCCTGTCTCTTTTTTTATAAGAAACGATCCAATTTGATTTATTAACAGAAAGCGTTTAATTCATATATTTTCCCAGGAAAATATTTTCAAAATGGGCGTAATACGAAAGGAAGACAGATAGGAGCGCGGAACTTTTCCTTGGACCTTTTTCATCCTCTTGCTCGTCGCGGTTGTCCTGGTGATCGCGGCTAGGAACGGCGGTCGCGCGGAATAAATAGGGGAAAAAGCGCGTACCGTGCGCCGGGTTTAAGTGATTGTGGGTAGGTTTATGGTGGCCATAACCGGTGTTTGGTTTGGCGCGTTAAAGCTCCCCCAATTACGGCAAATAAACCTAATGGCCGTGCTACTCGTTCTTCCCGTTCCCTCTTTCTCTTCCTCTTCCTCCTCGTCTCTTACCCTCGGTTCCCGAGGATCTTCCGATTTCTTGATATCGATCTTCTTAACCCCCGAATAGGGTCTCGATCGCTCTTTACCGTGAGAAAGTCCTCGGTGATAAATGAAACGGTATTCGATATCATCTGTCAATTATATTGATCCTTTTGTTCCAATGCAAAGAGTTAATTACCTATAACGAATAAAATTGATTTTTAAACGCGTTGCAAATAAATTGTGGAAAATTTGAATTTGTAACAAACTTCTTTAGTATATTTGATGTCAGATTTTTGATGGCAGGAAGAAAGGGTAGTAATCAGACACATTTTTTTTTTTTATCTATGTAACTTTAATTACATTTATTTGTTGAATATTTGCATAATAATCAAACTGACGGTAACGAGATAAATTAAAAAAAAAAAAAAACTGCATCGACTGGCAGTGACTTGTAACGGGTGTCCGATGACGGGCAATGACCAACCTGGTAACTCGATAGGCGCACGTGGCGCCACGTGATACGTTTCTGACCCGGTGCAGCTAGTCGACGATGATCGTACCACGTCGTCGAGAACGTTATCGTTCTCGAAGCATCGAGAAACGATCGAAGCAAAGTCAAGGTAAACGTCAGCGAACAGAGGCAATTCGAAACTCGCCGAGCCCGAGTCTGATCCTTAAAAATGTTTCGAATTATCGTTAACCGAGAGAGAAAGTAACGAGAGAAAGGTGTATTTATTGCGTTAATCCTCTATTTGAATTATCGATACTTTAATATCCTTCGAGTATCCCCGGGTTTCTCGAGTTCTTTTCACCGATGGGCTTCTTAAGTATAAATTTAGCGAGCTACCTCGTGCGACCCCTTCGCGCGTAAATTCAGAAGAGTAATAATGCCCTTTTTTTTTTATTGGAAAAGAAGAAATTTATCGTGTAATTATTGTCAGTGAAGGAGTATATTAAAATAGATTAACAAGTTGACTGGTATTGTGAAAATGTACGCGTATCTAATTTTCAAACTCTCTATGCAAACAAAGTCTTCGGATATAATTTCTATGTTCAATCTTCTTGATAGGTACTATAAAATTACTAATTTCTAAATGATATTTAATATATGTACTAGCAGTCGGTCGTCAAAGCGTGAAGCAATTGACAATTTTTTTCTTGTTCTTACGTCTATTAGTTATCGTTAAACGCAAGCAATAATATTTTTACGATATCGGATATCTTGTTATTTAGATATCCAACGTTGGAAAGTATATAGTAGATTTAATGCGGCAACTATCGAAAACTGGTTCCAGCTTACGGTAAAATGTCAGACGATCGGGACACTGTCTCGCGTTTCCCACAATTATTGCAAAATATCATTTCTTGCATAAAGTAACGCTTCGTTTCAAAACATTATTTACCAGGAATGCCTTCATTTGTCAATATTTTCTGGCTTCCCATTCGCGTGCTAGCCGAGTCTGTTTGCAAGCAAAACTCCGTCCAAGAAACGTTTTATGTATACGTATTTCTCTTTATTACACGAACCTGCCGGTGTCGTTAGAATGAATCATAAGTTTCACAAAAGCATCTACAATTAACCTTTACGAGGTTGGAGTATTTAAATGATCGTATACACAACAGGTTGACGGTGAATATTAGGACTTAGATACTCGCGATATCCAGCCATGAAATATCCTTCGAACGATCGTTTCACTTTTACTACGTACACCGTGGAAATTGAACATCTATTCGATGTAAGTACCGTAAAATACATTTACTCAGGGCAAAAAGGAGATAAAT